GTCTCTAAGATGCCCTGGTACCTTTTTACCGCTGTACCTGACGCGACATCGGGATTAGCAAACATCAAGTCTCAGCTTACACGGTATGCGCACCGTTCTTTTCTAGTGATGACGCCGTCGCCGATGACACCAGCCCACACAACGTATCAGTCGACCTATTATTTTGTATCTCCCGGTACTACTTTCCCGCCGTCGTGTCTGCCGTCTACAAATGCAGGACAAGAGCACCGATGGCATTTTTTCGTGGGTCGTCGCCGCCGTGGATGGTCTGTTCATCAAGGCCGAGGCTCCGCGTGCGAAAGAGACCAAAAATGTCATCGCGTACTACTCTGGCAGCAAGTCCGCGTACGGCATCAACGTGCAAGCGATGTGCACCGCCGACTACCGGTTCTGCGCAATGTCGGCGATCTCTCCAGGCTCGACGAACGACTGGGTAGCATGGAATCGATCTTCCCTCGCCAAGGCCGTCGCCCGCTTGCCCACCGGATTTCACATCATTGGTGACGCCGCCTACCCCATCGGAGAAAAGCTTCTAACTCCGTACCCTGGGAGGCAACTGCCGGCGGGCGAGGACTCGTTCAACTTCCACCTGAGCCAGCTTCGTGTTAAGATCGAGCAGAGCTTCGGCATCCTGGTTTCGACTTGGGGCATTCTGTGGAGACCTCTCCGCGTGCAGCTCGGAGGACGCGCGGATCTCATCACAGCTCTTTTTCATCTGCACAACTTCCTGCAAGACGAGAAGGTAGCGCCGATCCAGCTTTCAGAGGAGGACTCCCGCAGCAGACTCAACCGGCCGGCCCTTTGTGCTACCCAGCACACCTTGCCGGATGACTGGGGAACGGAGCCGGCTCCTTCGAGGAGCGGTGAGACCCCGGCCCGAGCGGCTATCCGCAAGGCCCTGGAGTTGAAGAAGCAGTGGAGGCCGGACTACAACCTCCAAAGGAATGCGTAAGGACGTATCCAGCTCTGGCGTCATCGCGTGGCGGGCGCACGAGGGGGGAGTGGGGACGGG